GTTGATTTCATTGGTTAAGCAATAAAGAAACTGCTTGGCTGGCCCTGATAGGTTAAAACATAGGTGGGAGGAGTAAACAGAATAGGATGCTGGGAGGAAGAGGAAGTGAGCTCAGACTCTGCTCTGCTCCCGGAGAGATTCGACAGCTCTGCTCTCTGGAGCAGAGATGCCATGCTCAGCTCTCCCGGGTAGACACGATAGCTCTGCGCTCTGAGGCAGACACATGAAGCTCAGACCCAGGATGGACGTAGGCTAGAATCTTCCCGGTAAGCGCACCTTGGGGTGCTACAAACATTATTAGAAATGGGCTAGTCCAGGTGCAAGAGTTAGCCGAGAAGAGGCTAGATATAATGGGCAAGCAGTGTTTAAAAGAATACAATTTGTGTGTTGTTATTTTGGGCATGAGCTAGCAGGCGGCCGGGGTGCTGGGGACGCAGCCCCGCCACTCCTATTTCAACATCTGAGTTTTTCATCCAGAACAGATTCAAGACTGCTGCCTGAGATGATCAAGACTCACAGGATACTTCAGTCAGGACTTGATCATAACTCTAAATTTTCTTTAGGTCCCCATAAGATTATCAGCGCCCCCCCAACCAGCTGGAAGTAGCCTGGAATACTACGCCCACATTTCCAAAAAATGGACTATGGATATTTTCCTTTGTTTTTTTTTTTTTAAGGAGGGGGAAGTGGTGTGAGAGAATTGTCTGTATTCTGTCAATCATGTTTTAAATAAATGCTGATTGGCCAGGCAGGAAGTATAGGCGGGAAAACCAGAGAGGAAATAAAAATGATACAATGAGAACAGGAGAATTCTGGGAAGGAGGAAGTTGATTCCTCCCACACCTGCCCAGACCACCGAAGCAGCAGGATATGATCTGCCCCACTGAAAAAAGGTACTGAGCCACATGGCTAACATAGATCAGAAAAATGGGTTAATCAAGATGTGAGAGTTAGCCAGTGAGAGGCTAGAGCTAATGGGCCAATCAGCTTTATAACTTACAGAGATCTATGTGTGATTTTCTTTGGGGCTAAACAGTTGTGGGGTACAGGGCGGGACAGAAAACCCCAACAACAAACAAGCCAGGCTTGTCCATGTTACAATAAATGCTCCTAGTAGTCCTTGGGAAAATTCAAGACAATAGTTCCATTTGCATTTTCCTCCTAATGTGCGTAGGCACTAAAATGACAGCAGAGTCCTTATTTTCATGAATATGCTGGGACTCTTGGATTATTGACGCAACCTCTCCCTCTCTTGCTAGGATGTTAAGTGTATTTGAATTAATTTGTCATTGACTATGATAAATGTTTTGACAGTGACATCAGAGGGGTCAGGGTATCCAAGGCTAGTTGGGAACCAAAGAAGGAGTACAATGGGAGTGGAATGGAACCATTGAAAGTCTACATTTATGTTTTGTTGTTTGTTGTTGTTTTGAGACAGGGTCTCACTATGTATAAAGGCTGGCCTTGAAAGCACTAGATAGCAAATTTATAGTTTGCATCTATTTTAAAATGTTGGATCCCTTTTTTGTCAGAGGTAAAAATAAATTCAAGCCACACCATACTGAAGAGAAAGCACCCACAAAAGGTAGCCACTTTCAAACTGAATATCCAATACATACAGTGCTTGACATTATACTCCAGTTTAGATTTAAGTCCCAACAAAGTTTCCTAGCAAATGGGACCTAGGGGACATTACCTCTCTAATACTAGCAGTCTGCCAGGCTCCCACTGCACATGGATGCCTCTATTGTTCCATTGCACCAAGCAGACTGCGTAGCAGGCACCCTAGCTACAGCCTATTTAACCAGCAAGGGGCAAAGGTTGGTGTGGGGCAGGAGGCAAAAAGAACCACTCATTCCACTATAGGTAACAGGCACCGAAGAGAAGCACAGACCTACTTTTCTCACCTTCTCCTTCTCAACCCTTCATAGGTGGATCTCAGATTATCTTGACTGCTTCATGTCTTGGGAGTCAAGGTGTAAGAAGGGGTTTTCCTCACCTGGTTTTCTTTTCCTGGAGGGACTCCAGTATCTCCCGAACATCAGTCACATGACTTTCCTTGAAGCTTTGATGGGAGACCTGAAGGCCAGCATGGACCTTCCTCGCTTCTGTCAGTTCTTCTTTCATCTTCTGCAACAGTAGCTTTCGTTGCTGAGCCACATACATTTTGTCTGAGAATTTCCTCTGTTGCATGCCTGTCAAGTGACTCTCCAGAGTGTAGGGCCTAGCTATGTTTAGGGGCAGGTTATCTTTCCCACCTGTCTTGGACAACTTGGAATATGACACCTTCTCACCAGGCTGCTTATGATTGTCCACAGCATTTTCCACTTTCAGCACTGAGCTTGTAGGGTTGCAGCCCTCTTCCAGTTCCTTCAGCTGCAGGTGGCACTGATAGAGCTTCCGTTCTATGTGAGCAATGGTGGCAGAGGTGCGCTGGTTCACCCTCTCAAAGGCCTGCCGGATATGTGGGGCCTGGTGTCGGTCAGCTTTGAATACCAGCTTGAGGTAGCTCATGGTATTCTCATCCCTACTGGCCTTCTCCACTCTCAGCTGCTCTGAGAGGTAGAAGATTCGATGCCTGACACCTTCCCTCTCATTACGGGCAAGCTCACCATCTGAGAAGCTGGTGTGAGTGCTAGGGCAATCCTCACGGGAGGACAGGGACCTGTAGGAGGGCATGTTCGGAGGTAAGGTTGCACTTGAGCTCTTGTTGCCTTCCACCTGCATTGGGAAACAATAAAACATGCAACAGATCCTCTGTGAGCTTCAAACAGAAGATTTGAAAATGTATGGAGTCACTTCAGAAAAAATGCATGTGTGCATAGACAGTGATGTGTACAAGGCTTGTGTATTCAAGATGGACCAAACACAGACTGTGTGGAGAAGGAGTTCATTTCTTAGGCCCTGAACTCCTCCTGCCTTTTAAACACTTAACTCCTTGCCCATAACTTACTACAAACTCAAATGGGTAAAATTTGTCCTCTACATCTGCCTCACCTGGTCTTGAACCTATCTTCCTATTATCTCTTCCAAGAATTATGAGTTACGTCTCTCACTTATTAGAGGCTGTTCTTATAAAGTAGCAGTAAATTTCTTCCCATTAATCTATATGGCTGTCTGTATTGCTACTTCTGGGGAAATGGTAGTTAGAAAAATTTCTATGCTAACAGGTTTATCCGCTCTTAAAATCATTTGCCCCACACATTATTTTCTGAGCATTAATGAGACAAAATAGTCAGGGAGTCAAATGAGGGCAATACACTACTATACAACAAAGGAAATAAACTGCATCCTTGAGAAATAGAAAGGAACCTTAACAAGCATAATGTTGAACAGAAAACCACATTGTGCTTTGTTCTATTTGGATAAATTTCAAGAACATGCAAAATGCAGTGAGGTTGTATAGGGATGTCTACATAGACGACAAACTATAAAGGCAAAACCTAGTCGTGAAGAGTACAAGCATCAGGAGGAAGAATTTCCTGAAGGGGATTGTGACTGTAAGGCAGCTGGAGACTGTGGTGCTTGATAGCAGTTACTTATCATTATTTCTTAAGATACATGTTTATTTTTTCTGCACCTTTGTGCGCATATGCCAGATTCTGCAATTTTAAAAAATGTTTTAAGTGTTCAATAGATGGATTTAATAGCAGATTTTATATGATTAGATAAAGTTGCTAAATAGTAAAACAGAGCTGAAAAAAAGTATCTGGAATCCAGCACAGAGATATAAAGAAATAGAAACTTTTTGAAGTAGAAACAGAAGACAGGATGGGGAGGCCTAATAAAAATCTTCTCACTGTACCAGAGTGAGAAGATAGAATGAATATTACAAGGTAATCCATAAGAACTTTCTAGAACTAATAAAGGTGACAAATAAACACATTAAGAAGCTTAGTAAATTCCAAGTAGAACAAAACAAACTCAGAAATAGATCTGTATCAAGAGACAAGATATTAGAGAGGTAAAAACATATTACCTTTAAAACCATGACGTTTAGCCCGCAATCTGACTTCTTAATAGCATCAGTAAAATCAAGAATATGGCTGAACAGTTCTTCAGTACCGTTAGAGATATGCTGTTGGAGAAACATAAATCAAGTCAGATTCAAAGAATTGGAAATCAGAATGTCTTCAGCACAACCAGTAACCAATGAAGAAATGCCTTCAAAGCTTGAAAGGTAAATGATTTTATAACAAAGCCATTCTCTGAGTTAAGGACTCTTCTTTTCCCTTTTCCTTCCTTTTTTCCCTTCCATTTCCTTTGCCTTCTTTTCTGTTGTCTCTCCTACCTCTACTTTCCTTTCCACCCTTTCCCATTCTAGGTATTGAACCCAGGTCCTCAAATGAGGTAAAACTTGTTGCTCACATTCCCAACCCTAACTGTGAATGTACAGTGAAACATTTTTAGACATGACAGAACCAAAGAGTTTACTTAATCTTCAATCTTTCTCCAGATTTTTTATGACACATATAGTGAACCACCACAATGAACAAGGGATTTAGCAAACAGGGTACTAGATGAAGCGATGGAGAGGGGAAGGAGGAAGCAGAAAAGCAAACATTTTTTTTTATTTCCCAGATGACAAAAGGAGAGCCTGTGTTTATAATTGGGCAACAGGCCTGGAAAGCAAATTAAAGGCTCCTTTGGGGGCTGGGAAAGTGGATCAGTGGATAAATTGAGGGCCTGAGTTTGAATCCCCAACATCTGTATCCCCAGTGCTGAGGGGTAAAAACAGAAGAATAGCAGTGGCTCATTGGTCAGCCAGCCTAGCTTAATTGGTGAGCTCCAGGTTGAGAGAAAGAACTTGTCTCAAAAAGAAAGGAAGGAAGGAAGGAAGGAAGGAAGGAAGGAAGGAAGGAAGGAAGGAAGGAAGGAAGGAATTCAGAAGAAGTCGGAGGAGCTAGAGATGGCTCAATGTTTAAAAGCATTTGTTCTTTCAGAGGACCAGGGTTCGGTTCTTAGCACCCACATGGTAGTTTACAAATATCCATAACTCCAGTTCCGGGAGACCTGATGCCTACTTCAGCCTTCTGCTGGTACCAGGAACACATATGGTGTACATACATACAGGCAGGCAAATCATGCATATACATAAGGTAATTATTAAATAAAAGTTATAAAAAATATAGGGGAGAGATAGAGGAAGACATCCTGACATCTACTCCTAGCCTGCACACATACAAACAAAGTTCCTTCAGAGAACTACTGGGAACCAAGTGAGTAGAATGTCAGAAAAATTTTAATACATATGTAGAAGATTTTTGTATATACAGTTGGTGGAAGTGCTGAACTCAATACAGGTAATAGAGGACAAGCAGAAGGGGGTACAAATATTGACTCCAAGGAAAAGAAAATTTAAACAAGGAAAGAAAATAAATCACATGCTGGAGAGATGTCTCAGAGGTAAAAAGCACTGGCTGCTCTTCTAAAGGTCCTGAATTCAACTCCCAGCAACCACATGATGGGTCATCTATAATGAAATCTGGTACCCTCTTCAGGAGTGCAGGCATACAATCAGGCAGAACACTATAAATAAATAAATAATTCAAAAAAAAGCTGGCAGTCGTGGCACATGCCTTTAATCCCAACACCCAGGAGGCAGAAGCACAGGCCAGTCTGGTCTACAGAGTGAGTTCCAGGACAGCCAGAGCTACACAGAGAAACCCTGTCTTGAGAAAACAAAAAGGGAGGGAGGGAGAGATAGAGAGAGAGAGAGAAAGAGAGAGAGAGAGAGAGAGAGAGAGAGAGAGAGAGAGAGAGAGAGAATAAATCACACTAATTATTCATTTCTAACTAATATCCCCTTGAATTTGAAGATTTGGCCATGTAAATCCCAAGAAATGATGCACCTGAAATCATCACTGTATACTGTGCAGGAAGGAAGGCCAAAGATGAAGTGTGCATTGGATAGAGAGAAGGTAGGTGAAAGAGCTATACCATCATCTTTTCTTTAAGAAGTTAACATCAGTTCCTAAAATACAAAAAGACAGTTAAGCAGGATTATATCATCAAATTGCTTAGGTAACTTGAGGCAAGTGACAGGTAAAACAGCAAAAATGTTGAAAATTGTTTGATTCTGGAGAGTGGACAGCGTGTAGTTGGAGCCTTGATGTTGCTAATTTTTTTTAATGTTAAATGATATCATCCTTTAATTAAAAAATCAAGTTGCTAAGTTTTGGTTAATAAGCTTAGTAGAAATATTTAACTCTAGCACCAAGAATTGACAAAATCTACCAGGTCCACTACCTGGTTTTTAACAGCATGCATACCCTTTTTTTTTTTTAGATAGGTTCTTTCTATGTAGCCATGGGACTTTCTATGTAGATCAGGCTAGCCTTGGATTCACAGATATGTGCCTGCCTCTGCCTCCTGCATGGCTCATATTTATACCTTTTAAATATTTGAAAAGAAATGGGACTATTCAGAACATATAAAAATTACATGGGATTGAAAGCTCAGTATTCAACTGGATAGTGGTGGCACATACCTTTAAGCCTGGCACTCAGGAGATAGAGAAAGCAAATCTGAGTTAGAGCCCAGCCTGGTCTACAGAGCTAGTTCCAGGATGGCCAGGGCTACATTTAAAAAAAAAAAAAAGAAAATCAAGAAAGAAACCTCGATATTCATAAAAAGAAAGTTATTTTCCCAGAGCCATTTTATTTACTTCCCCACGACCTAAGGCTCCTAAGTTTTCTATAAATGCTATCTGGCTATTTATAGAAAACTTTGTTGACCTACACTTAAACTATGTTCATGTATACCTTTGGCAAGTGAACAAACTGAATAATTTCTCAAGGAGCAAGTTGTAAATATGAAGAATAAAAATTTGCTTATTAACTTTTCTAGAGGGAATTTTATAGACACAATATAAGACTCAAAATTGAGAAGAAATATGTTGGTGTAAAAAATGCAAAGTAAGGGACTGGAGAGAGTGGGTAATTACAAAAACATGAGAACCTGATTTCAGATCATGGTACCTATGTTAAAAAGTGGGAATGGCCATACTTGTACCTGTAACCCCAGTGCTGTGGAACAGTGGAAACAGGAGGATCGCTTGGGCTTACTGGTCACCAGTGTAGGTTCAGTGAAAAACCTGGTGTCAAAAAATAAGGTGAACAGGAAATTATGAAGGCGTAAGTCACGAACAAGGCCACATAGTTTGGAGTTATGATTAATAGGGTGTTATTTATTTAAAGGGGAAACTTACAGATCACCGTCCCAAACAACAGCCATCTGCACAACCAGGAAGGGAGTCTAGTCTCCGGCGGAGCAGGAAGTGAAGAGAGCGAGCAGAGGAAATAGCCGCTTTTTTAAAGGGAGAGAGACCACGCCCCAATGGGCCGGTATCACAGCAGCTATTGGTTGGAGGGGCGGAAGGACCTCCCGCAACACCTCCCCCTTTTGTTTAAGTAAGAGAGTTCTAAACCTACTATGAAATTATATACAATAAGTACAAATATCCTATTCTAACTAGCTTAGGTCTTGTATAATAAATAACTTGGCCAAGTCGTGAGAAAAAAGTAACTACATTTATATAGTCTTCAACCCCATCAAAGATCTGAGAAGGGAAATAATGTTAACTGGGTAATTAGGAAGTTCAGTAAAACAACTTCCAAAACATGCAACAAATCACAGAGACAACTAGCTACCTGGGCAATCACCCAAAGTCATGTTTGCAGCGTTGAAGCAACCAACTTTGGCTAAGGCCTAACATAACTGACATACCATTTTCAAAGGCAAGCAACTTTTCAAAACTATCTTACCCTGTCTTGGCAGGATATGACAGTCCTGTTTTATTTATTGATGCACGCTCTGTATCTCTGTCAGTTGTTGAGGTATGGGCATTTCTTTGCCCCAAGGCCAGTTCTGCCAAAAAGAAAGGCTCCAGGTGGAGTGTCTTTGGTGCTCAACATTCTCTCGGGAATAGAGCGGTGTTGCCAGGAGCAATTGTGTCTCACTACCACAAAACTCTGAGTTAGATTAAAGGCCATATTCTACAGCTCTTCAAAGAGGTTGAAGATTATCTATCTATACTGAGTATAATCTCTCTATATATAAAGAACCTGATTAGTCTAATTATAAATGACAAACTTAGATGACTATTAATCTATATAATTCTCAATATCTATCTAACTTAAAGACTAAGACAATAAACAACTGTGCAATATATGGAGACAATGATCTTCATCTGTAAACAATGTCATTACATATCAAATGTAAACAATGTTATTACATAAATAGTATCAGAGGTAGAAATGTACATTGTGATATGGTAGATGTATCAATACAATATAAGCATACTCTTATACAAAAATAGAGGTAGGAACACTCACATTCAATATTCAATATGTCAATATACAGGAAACAGTACCAATACAATTTTCTAAAAACAGTAACTCACAAATACCAATCATCCCATCCGCGCGGACGCAGCCCTGCCGCTCCTATTTCAACAGAGTGGCGCCCAACATGGGGCTAAATCCACTTAAAAACCTGAGAGAGCTTAATTTTAAACAGAGAAAAAACAGAGTTTAATACAGAGTTTTGTTCTTTGTTGGTGGCGTGCCGTAGAGAGATTTCCTGATTCAGCAACAGCAGCAGAAAAAAAGCTATGTCATTTTAAAGCACAGCTTCCTGGGGCTGTGCTGCCAACGTGAACTCTGGTTTTAAAGCATTTCAAGGCTTTTATGGGACTGGATGTTTCTGTTCCCGCTTGGGATTGGAAGGAGAGTGCTCTGAGACCATGCCGATGGCTCAGTGCTCCCCGCCTGCACCTGGGCAGAAGGCCGAATCAGGCTTAGGCAGGCAGAAGAGCATGGCGGATTCCTGCCGCCATACAGAGACGCGTTTTCAGTCTGCGCAGTGCTCTGCGTATCAGATTTGGCTGTAACTTGGATGAAAAAAATTTCTGTGCTGCACGCTCAGTCTTGGAGTTAAACTGCTCATTGCGGCTCCAATGTGGACTGCTTTGTGCCTGGAACTGTGAAT